AGTCCCAGCTACTCGGGAGGCTGAGGCAGGAGGATCACTTGAACCTAGGAGGCAGAGATGGCAGTGAGCCGAGATCGCGCCACTGCACTTAAGCCTGGGCGACACTGTGAGACTCCGTCCGTAAAATAAATAAATACAATAAAAACATAGTTTTATCTTACAGTTTCAAGCTCCTACTTGGAAGTAACACGTATGGAGGCCCCTACAGTCTAGAATCCCAGCCGTGAGAGCCTCAGCGCAGTTCCTCCCTCCTTCCCTTCCGCAGGCTTCCGCGCCCTCCACGCCCCTCCTCCGCGGGGGCGGCCTGAGGCGCCGGGTCACGTGGCCGGCGAAGAGGGTTTATCCCGCTGCCCGTCCGAGCTCCGCCGCTGCTCTGCCGCCCAGGCCCATGGCCGCAGCCCTGGCGCTCGTGGCGGGGATCCTGGCGGGGGCGGTGATGCCCCTCTGGAGCGCGCTTCCGCAATATAAAAAGGTGAGGCAGGGAACGCGCCCAGCCCGCCGCGACCGCAGGGGAGGGTGGCCCCGCCGCAGGGGCAGTGGAGTCCGAAGGCGCCGGGCAGCCTGAAACGAAGAGGGCAGTCGCCAACCACACCTAGGCGGGCAGCTTGGGGCATCCTCAGACGGACTTCAAAAGCCGCTTCACTCTCCCCTGGCGGCCTCGAGGGGAGAGAAATTGGCCTATGACCAGCACCCTCGCTCCCCCCACCTCCCCCGCCCGTGCCTCTTCCGATGGCCTCAGTCCTGGGCTCACTTGCCTCCCCAAAGTGCTCACAGCCAAACCCTGCCTGCTCTGGTTTCTCCCCCTCTTCCTCCGCCTCGCCTCACTGTCTAGTGATTCTTCCAGGCACGAGGGCTCTCCCCTTTTCTCTTTCTCTCCCTCTTTTTCGAGCCTGCAGTCCCCTCATTCTCACCCCCCAACCCTGCCCCGCAAAATGGGACACACCCTATGGGACTCATGGAGGTGAGGGCGGTCCAGGAAAGGAAAGGCCGAAGGAAAAGTGCTAACCCCCCTCTCCTCCTCTCCTCTGCTCCCCTGGGTCCTGCTGAGGGGCCGGGGTGGGGCTGGGGGGGGACCAGTCCCCCCAGGGGGGCGACAACCTCATAACTTCTCCTGGACCCCTGGGCTCTTTGGCAATGGTGGGAACCCTCTCCTACCCTCCCACACAACTCAGGGATTGTCCCCAGCCTGGCAGACATCCTGCCTGTCCCCACAGAAAATCACAGACAGGTGCTTCCACCACTCTGAGTGCTACAGTGGCTGCTGCCTCATGGACTTGGAATCCGGTGGAGCCTTCTGTGCCCCCAGGGCCAGAATAACCATGATCTGCTTGCCCCAGGTGAGGCCCTAGGATGGGGCAACTTCTGACAAGTAGAGAAACGGGCAGAGGAGGTTAAAAAAACAAAACAAAACAAAAAAAACACCTGGCCCCACCTGTTTTTTCACCTCTGTCTGGGGTGCCCTTCCTCTTCTCCACTTGGCAAACTCCTACTCATGGTACAAAACAACTCCAGCCACCTCCTCTGAGAAGCCTTCCCTCCTTGGAGCTCCTGTACCCTGGGGTCAGACATGTATCTCCCCAACTGGCCATGTATTTTCTCTGCCTCTCCCAGTGATTAGAACTCTTCAAGGGCAGGGATTGCATCATATTCATCTATGAAGCATCTACCCCCAGCTTAGTGTCTGCACATAGTAGGTGCTCAATAAATGCTTATTTTTGTTTGTTTATTTTGAGCTGGAGTCTCGCTCTGTCACCCAGGCTAGAGTGCAATGGCATGATCTTGGCTCACTGCAACCTCTGCCTCCTGGGTTCAAGCAATTCTTGTGCCTCAGCCTCCTGAGTAGCTGGGATTACAGGGATGCACCACTATGCCTGGCTAATTTTTGTATTTTTGGTAGAGATGGGGTTTTGCCATGTTGGCCAAGCCGGTCTCGAACTCCTGACCTCAGGTGATCCA